CCCTTGAACATATTCTTCCGTAAGTAAATTGGTGTTGGGATCCATATGAGGTTTATCCATCCACGAACGATGATAAACTCCTGAAGACATGATTTTCAAGAAATTGTTGTGCTTAGAGAGAGTAAAGAGAGAGTGAGGAGTGAATGAGTTGAATGAGGAGAGGCTGAATTTATAGAACTTGCTTACGGCAATCTGACGATATTCCGACGGAATTCTGACGCCTAACGGTTATCTCCGTCGGAATTCCGTCGGTATATTCTGACCTTCGGCAACGGTCAAAAGGTTCGTCGGAATTTCGTCGGAATATACTGACGACTTTCCGACGACTACAACGGTTATATAAATAATCGGAATGTCGTCGGAATTCCGTCAGTATATTCCGACGAACCTCGTCTTGTCAGAAAGTCGTCGGTTTTGTGTGACGAAATTCCGACGAAATTGTATTTTTGCAATTCGTCGGAATGTCGTCAGAAATCCGTCAAAATTGTCTGACGCCTTAAGCGTCCGTCGGAACCTTCATCGGAATAGACAGTGTTTTCTTGTAGTGTATATGTTTTCAAGAAAATAATATAAAAAGGTTGGGATCGAGAATATCTTAAGATCCTTTATATTAAAAAAGGTAGGGATTAAGAATACGTTTTCAAGACCAAATTTTAGCAAAAAAAAAAAAGACAAAGGGACCAGCATATAATCTTCTTCTATGTGTGATCCACTTCTTGAATGTTTTAGTGTTATAATTCTTTAAGAAAAATGAAGAATGAGAATGAATCATATGAAAAAAACATATTCCCCTATAAATGATGTAATTTTTAAATACCTGAGAGAAGTTTATTTATTATTTTTGTTAAAATTAAAACCGTTGTTAAAAATAACATAATGGTACTTTCTGGAAATAAATTTAATGGAATTTTTTGTTTTGAGTTTTCCTTATTTTGTGCATTTTTCCTGATTTCCAAACGTAAATAAGTTCTTCTAGCTAATACTACGTACTATTGTTTTATTTATCTAGGGTTTGTGGAATTCACCATGCACGAAGCCGCCATGGAAGATTCACAACCGTCTCTCGTTCATGCAGGAAACAGCACAACAACCATTCCTTTCGATCTCATCATCGAGATACTCTCACGACTTCCTGCGAAATCGCTCTTTCGCTTCCAAACCGTGTCGAAGCTGTGTTTCTCTACCATCCGCAACAAATTTTTTGTCGACTTGTTCCTGACTAGGTCAAAGACTCGTCCTCGTCTCCTTCTCACGCTCTATCTCACAGCTGCTGAGAATCAATTCATCTTCTCGGCTCCTGAACCCACAGACGATGATAAATCCTCCAGTTTCAGTGGTGTCATGGCAAGATACGAGATGCCGATCTCGGCTCCAGCCTACCACTTTCTCTATGGTTGTGTCAACGGTATTGTCTGCTTCAGAGGTGTTCGCTGTAATACTATCGCCGTTTATAATCCCACAACAAGACAAGTTGTGAAGTTGCCAGATGTTAAAACCAACGGAAGAATCATGGAGGCATATCTTGGGTACGATCCAGTCGAAGATCAATACAAGGTGTTGTGTGTGATAATGAGGTTCTGCTTTGGAAGCCAAGATATACCACAAGAGCATTGGGTTTGCACTGTGAGTTCATCTCGTGAGTGGAGAAAGATGGAGAACCCGACCGAAGATGAGGATTACAGAATTGCATTCGGAGGGACATGCATTGATGGTGCTGTATACTACGCAGTTAATCACGCAAGAATAGTTAGATTCGATGTTCGATCTGAGAAGATTGATTTTATTAAAATGCCCAAGGAGTACTCTATCACATATGTGTCCATTTTTACAAATTACAAGGGAAAATTGGGCTGTGTAGATTATTCTTGCAAAGAAAATTGGATGACGTTGTGGGTTCTTGAGGATGCTGAGAGACAAGAATGGTCAAGCATGAAGTGTGGCTTACCTTCTATGCGCGAATATTTACTTGGGGATTTCGTAATGACTCAGGGAATGAATCATACAGGCGAGCTTATGGTGTTTAATCCATTGTTCGAGTCATCTAAGCCTTTTTATGTTTGTTATTATGATTTTAACAAAGAGAGTACAAGAAAAGTAGAGATCCGAGGATTGAAGGACGGCGATTTCAGACGTATCCATCGGACTGATGATGATCATCAGATGTTATGTTATCCAGGTCACATTGAGAATATTAGGTTCTTGTAAGGAATTTATTTATTTTATAATTATTATTCACTGGTTCATGGTTTATTAGTTTCTTCCAAATTCAGTTTGATAGTTAATTACTTGATTATGATCTTGAGTTTGTTAGAAACGATTAATTATATTCCAGGAAAATATTGTTTTTTCTGTTTGTTTTAAGAGCTTGGTTTTATCTATTTTGTATGATTCGTAAAGATTGCATGTACATTAGTAGTTGATTCTTTGTCGCAGTGCGTGAAAAAGGAAATCGTGTGTACCTTAAATTTTCCCAACTCTATAATAATGTCATAGTCCTCCTGACTTATAGAGTAACTAAGAGTTCATGAACTCAACAACTTCTGAAACAGCTTCATCCTGGGAACATTAACATATAAATATCTCATCATGTTAGACATTATCCTCGATATTATACGAACAAGTGTATGATGCGTTTAATAAACAAGAATCAGATATTTTTTCTGTTTGTTTTAAGAGCTTGGGTTGCTTTCATCTATTTTGTAAGATTGTTACTTATTTTCAAAAACTTGGCCAAGCAAAAACCAAATGTATTGTATCTCAAGTGTTGTAGATGTTAGATAAAACGAAGAAAACGAATTGGGGTTTTGATGAAACTTTTGTTTGTTGAATTATAAAAAAGGTCAAAATTAGAGAAAAGATTGTCGTTGTTAGAGTTTATATACTTAACCAGTAGTAAAACTCTTGATTTCACACATGAATATGGAGTATGAATATTTGTTTTAACCGTGAAAGATAAGAGTAATAATAAAGCAGCACTAATGGTAGATGTTTCCTGTGAGGTTGTGACAAAACTAAACAACAATTAGAAAATATCCACAAGGGTTTAGGGTTTGTTTCAAAGGCATTTCTCTATTTTTCCTACTCTAAATTGAATATATAGTTTAATGAAATAATCAGACACTCACTTTTGTATAAAATAAAATGAACCCCCACAAAACATGTTCTCTGCTCTTCTTCTTCTTCTGTATGCAAGCCTCAACATACAGCTGCTCTGATCTTGATCATGTACTGAATGAGAATCAAGCCAATGATGTTTCATAAATAAGCTTTCCCTCACAATGGCAAAACTGCACGTACCTTTTTTCTTGTCCTTTTCAGTTTCTGGTTCATTATTCTTCTACTAAACGTTTATAGAACAAAACGTAAGCAGCCGAAGTCTTTATCTTTTCTTGGCTGATCTTGTTGACATGGCTGTCATCAAAGTCATACCATCGATCACCCCCATGCTGCAAAAGAAGGAGATTAATTAAAAGAGTTAGAGATTCAAAAGCCGTTGACATAGGCAAGGAAGTATTAGATGGATTTATCACTTACGTGGACATATGCAGTGTAATGACCACCTCCCATGTCCCCATAGTGATTGCTAATCGCATAGAGCATGTAGCGATAAGTCGTCTGACCATTTTTGTATGAGATGTAGCTTGACAGATCAAGACCATCTATCGGAAAATCCACAAAGGCCTCCAGCTTGTTCTTCATAAACCGGCTATAAGAAAATCTCTTCAGGTGAATCACCAGTATCTCTGGCAACCTCCAGAGATCCAACTTTTTTATGGCTTGTCGGTGTTCTTTACAGCCAGGACAATACCTAAAACCATTATGACTCATGTCAGCTATGTTTCTGTCTAAAAGGAATACAAAAAGAAATCGAAATCAACTGCGATTTGTCAAAAGAGTTCACTCTATCAAAAAGCTGAGAATAGATACGAGAATGGTTTTGATCCATAACTCACCACATGTCATCAGGACCAAGAGGCTCTTCCGTCAAGAATGCCTCAAGGCACTTGTAAAGCGAGACGGATTCTTGGGGTCTCTTAGTTCCAAATTTGGAAACCTCAGGTAAGGAGCTCAGAAGACAAGTGTCATAAACGTCTAGCTCTTTTACTGGCCAACGGGCAAGCACATTCAACCGCTTGGATTTAATGTTTACAGGCTTTTCTTTCAATATCTCAGATTCTATTGAGCCTCCTCTGTCGTCGGTTAGATAAAGCCTCAACACAGGGTCTGGAACAGACTCAGTAGTCTCCTTCACATCATTGGAATTTTTATCCTCAACTGAAGTAGTACAATCGGTGCCTGCTTTATCAGTCGCTTCTTCCTCGGTAGGATTTTCAAGATTCTCTGTGAATAATTCAGTAGGCATCTTAAATGAACTAAGCAACTTCAGGTACATGTTCTCAACATCAAATCCATTCTCGACATCACAAAGCCTCGAGACCAAGGGGATTCCAAATCCCTTCCAAGTTGGGCTTGATTTCCCACAGATGAACTGCCTGAAAAAAACATTGAAACGGTTACATATTTGAAACCCAAGACATCAATTTGAAACTGCAGTACCACTAGTTAACTGCACAACACAGAGATGCATTATACAAAGGCAAGGGCGATAGATATTGGTTGCTGAGGAAAGTGCATGTAGTGCAGTTTAAATTTATGTTGTTGCCAACATAAACAAACAGATAATGTCAAACTAGTTTGCCTTGATAAAAACCTTACTTAGCATTTGAATACTAGGCAAACTTACTCTTCCAGCTTCTGATGCATAAATACAATCAAAGGCGAATCGTTTGCGTCTTTCTTTAACCGATACACAACAAGTTTGTCACCATCTCTGATCAAGGATAGTGAATCAGTAGGATCCTCCAGGACGCGAAGAATTCGATTGTTGTACACCTATAAAAGTAAAGACCGAATGAAGAGAAATTTTACAAATGATCTGCCTAAGCACCAAAATAAGACCAAAGGCGTCAAATATAGCATATGATAAAGAAATTTACCTCAGTAACCAGTAAAGTCTCATCCTCTGGCAAAGAGCAGGCAGTGACAAGAGCTTTCTGAAGATCTTCAAATTTTCCAAACTTGGGAACGTTGACAGTCACTGAGACAGGCAGACTACTTCCATCGACACTCATGACTGTTAAATCCATTGTTCTCATTGACGTGCATGCCAAAGGTAGCGATAGGTACATGAACGGATCAAACATAACAGAAACCTTTTTGCAAATAGGACAAACTAATGTTGACTTGTACTGGCCCTACAATCAGAAATGCATATCAATGCCAGGATATATTATTAGCAAATGCACTGAATCAAAGAAGATGATGATATACAGGATGCTAAAAGTTCATGACATAGTCAGAACATATTAAACACAAAACAATTCATTAAAAAGAATTGTGTAGAGACAACAATCTAATAACTTGACAAAGTTAATAAGAGGGTTATGTGATCCCATTCAAGAAGATAAAACTGCACTGACCAACCTGATGGAAGAATTTGTCAAACATATGCAGCTTAAATCGAATGAAACGTGAAACCTAAAAATACTACCCTTCTTGAGTCATCCAACATTTTTCAAGAAGAAATCAAACTAACTAAAGTTTCCTAATGTGCAGTCAAACCCAACCCTTAGCGTGATTACCGGCAGAGGTATAAAAACAATGTGGGAACCTGAAGATATTTACTTGGCACACATCAACAATTACTGAATCATTGCGAGCCACATGATTTCGCCAATATTCATCAGCCACTTCTTCGTCTGGACGGCCATCTCCATCTTTTGCTTCCACATAGGGCTTGTTCTTAACACGGTTTAAGTCCTCGTGAAGTCCATCAAGCAAGAAAGCTAGAAGTTCCTGCAACCAAATCAAGAAACCCGAAACACATGAACAGAATATCCAATATGCAGTTTTAATGCTGAGAGACAGGAAGAAACATCAGGAAGGCTCACTTAATTCAGATTCTATAAACTGAAGGGTTTTCCCTGACCTGCGAATCATGCTGATTAGAGCCACCAAACTGGGGAGCAAATCGGCCAAGTTTTGCTTTAAATGTCCTTGGGGACACTGCTGATGCACCTGGAGCCCACAAACTCCTTAACAAGTCACCAAAAGCTAAGGCGATCTCACCCTGCCAGAAGAAAATTTGATCGGTGAGGCTAACCAAGAAGCAAGAGAATAAATTGATCAGGCACAACACACTTATACAAAGAACCATAGACGGGCATACTTTCATTCCCAAAGGGTTCTCCAGATTTATTTCTCTGATGTACTCTCCAAGAAAGAAGTCAACAAGCTTTGGTGTGTGAGCCAAGCACTGAAGGGAGCTATTCATGAAACAAGTATTTCCTAGATTCTGCAAGCCAGTCAGCCCCAAAGGTCCGGCTTCTCCAGCTTTTCCCAAAAAGCTCAAAGAATGACTCCGCCCAAATCTGAACGATGTGCCACCATTGGTAATTCCGTTAGTTTGATGTGTGGAACCATCTTCTTTTTTGGATTCCTTCAATTTGATGGAGTCTGATAACCCATAAATCTGCAGCTCTAAGAGCATCTGTTGGACCAAAAGTAATGATGAATAAAGAATACCGCATCAGGCAAATAGGAAGGAAAAAAAGAATCCGTGACACTTACTTCTTGATCTGTTTGTTGTTGGCAATCCTTGGAATTGTTCAGATCTCTTTCGAAAAACAAGGTTGTTTGCCCAGAAATATCCCAAATGCGCAGCTACAGAACCAAAAGTACCAGTAGGATTTGTTAAATCCATGAATAAATATCAGAACTATCGCGTGCGCCATATAATCAGAAACTGGCATGCATATTAAGTACATAGTAGGTAAAAAGATCAAAAACAGAACACATTACCTGCTCCGAGTCCAAACTGAATATCTTGCATGCTCTTCTGAAGCACTCCACTGAATTGTCCTGCATGCGGAAAATATAAGATTTGAAAACAGAAAAAAACAACTGAGCTGCCAAGAAAAATCAGCAGATAGGAAGAAGACGAAACTAAATCGTTTCTAATATGGTTCAAGCATGAATCTCTCAGTGGAAGACGAAGTTTCAAGTTTAGAAGTATTTTCCGTAGATTACAAATTCAGCAGATAGAAGTGGATTCTACAGATATAGTTCTGCAATGCTCTCAGGAATTCAAGTCCCAGTGAAAAAGAATCCTATTTTGATTTTAATTATCTTAAAAGAGGAAAACCGATCACTACACCACTAAGGCACCAGATTAAGCAAATAAAGAAGGCTGACGACACCTTTTTGCAAATTTTAACAGCCAATGAACTGGTTTCCTGCAAGACGGAGAGCCTGAGTTGTACTGGATAAACATCACCTCTGTCAACGCCTCCAGCCGAGAAACTTTTTACGCCTTTCTCATTATTTTTATCATTATGGTGCCTGGGAAGCAATAAATATCACAAATCAAGGACATCACCATCGCCTTTTTAAAAGGTACAGTGTGCAAAAAAACCAAAGCATATACAATAGCTACGAGAATATATAATAGGGTACCATGATTAGTTATCCTACATCATAACAATAATCTGTAGCTTTCTCACACTTGCAGCACAAACTTGTAATAAAGAATTTTAAGAAGGAACCATTCAGGTTTGTACAGAGGAAACAACCCCCTTACCATTTGAGTGCGTGAAGCCACATATCACTTGAGACCAAAGCAAAGTCCCTGCCAGAGACACTTGCTTCTCCCCTCTCACTACTCTGTAACGCATCTCTTTCTCTCCTCAGATCAAATGAAATATCAGAGTTAAAGATGTTGTTAATCAACTTCATTGGGCCTCCATAAGACGACGACCCAGTAGTCGCTGCTGTATACAACAAGATGTCTCTTTTCTCGACAGATTCACAAGGCATTGACTCTTGAGCATCTTTCCACCACCTGAGATATTCAAAAAATGTTTCAAATATCAACTTGGTTAATTAAATGTTTCTCTCTTATACACTACCTCGAGAGTAGTTCTATAATCTGGAATGAATCTTTGATTTGACTCTCATTCTAAAAGATCAAAAACAATTTTAAAATCCAAACCATTCGAATCAAATTCCCCGGTTAACTAGGATGCGATTGAGATTCTCCGAATATTCCAATGAGAAGGAAGATGGAGGAGAGGGAGATACCTGAAGGGGACGAAATAGACACTGTCCTGGCCGTTGAACGAATCGATCCGCTGAGCTGAATCGGGAGACGATGATGATGCTACGCTCATTGTTCCTCCACACAGGATGTTAGATTCGCAGAGAGACAGAGAGATGTGGAGAGGAGGAGGAGGAGGACCGATATTTTCTTCAGACAATCACCATCTAACAACGCACGCACGAATTATAAAAGCGATTTTTATTTTTGTCCCTAGCGAAGATGATATAAGTGAAGGAGGGAAATTTATATGTAATTTTTATTTTACAAATTTGTACATATATATTATTGTTGCTATTGCTAATATAACGATTATCGAGTTATTTATATAATATTTTTCATGTTGAAAACAAATTTTAACATTTTTAATTTGTTGTTATATGATCTTTAATTTGTATCGACCAGTAAAATATTTTTTCAAGTTTTATTCGCTGTTAAATTAATAATTATAAAATCTCAATTCGTAATTTTAATTAGGAAAGTCAGGAAACACATAAGAAAATAAGTAGTGTTGGTGTTTTAAAAATATGAAAGTTATAAAAAGAATTAAGGCGACGTTTACGGCTTTGAGAATCATAGATTTGATTTACATTGAATTGCATGTTGAGTCATGTATCACTCAAAATTTAACTCATATGGATGGATAACAAGCTCATAATACACTAGACAAAGTGATCAGTAAAGTAACTTTACCATCTTTTTCATCTAACTGTATGCAAGCTTTTTAGGTGATATTATTCCTATCATATGATGTGTCTTTTAAGAAGGTTAAAAAGACTACTTAATGACGCAACAAGACCATTGTAATTCAATTTCAAAGTCTGGATAGTCTCGAAAGCTTAATTGATCTACAATCCAAAAAAGTAACACGATATGTTTAGTGAATATCACATCAGTAGAACCGTGAGACTGTCCCACCAGGATACTGACCTCTAGACTCGAATCCATGATCCCTGTCTCCACCCTGAAACCTAGGTCTCTCTCCATATGCTTCAAACCGATCTGAGCCATAGGATCTGGACGGTGGTGCATCAGCTGGTTCTTGAGCATTGCCAATGTAACCCTGTGGATGACCAGATGGTCTTAGATTAGCAGCACCAACCGCGTTTGGATGGTACTGATCCATCATCCCAACGGTTTGCTGCTTGTATTGTTGCTGTCTAGCTTGTGATTCTTTCCTCATGATCTCTTCTCTTTTACCTGCGTGACGTAATCTCAGTGCAGCTAACTGTTCTTCGTACCGAGCATTAATGGTGTTTATTTTCTGTATACAGAGATTCAAAAGGACTCATAGATCAGCAAACCAAAACCAAAACCAGAATGTTTCACGTAGCAGTCTAGCAGAGCTTTCTAATTTTTGTTGTTGCTAACCTCTCGATGTCTGGCAATCTCTGCATCCTCTGCTCCGATTTGATCTTGCGCTAGTCTTGTTATATCATCCATGAACTTTTGTTCAAGACCTTCAAAGGTCTGCATACCACGGTTATTCTCGTAACCAGGCTTCAGGCTTTCTTGGTGCTGTGGTTGAGCTCTAGGCCCGCTGCCTTGTGTCTCCATTCCTGATTTTGGATCCATTTGGCCACGGTAATACGTCCTCGATGAATCTACGCCTTGACCTGCATGAACACAACGCTGGAATCAAGAGATAAACCCTAAAGCTTCAGATACACTCGATGCAGGAACTACAAAAGAAGTCATATCATTGTTGTCTTTCCTCAAAATATTTCTATCAAAACTTATATGCAACTACTATTCCTCTCACCTCACATAAAAAATTCATGGAAGAACTTAACCCACTAAAGGAACAATCTATACAAAAAAAAACTGTTGTATATGAGCACTGCTATATACAAACAGTGCATCAGCTTATATAGAGATTTTAAGAGTTCACCAACACTTCCAAACAATAATATCATTGACTATTAAGAAGCAAATCCATTGCACAATACCGTCTCTTCCATACAATGCTAAGGTAAAGAAACTTACTTTCATTGTAAACAGCAGTTGGCATAGGCCTAGACATATTCGGGGGACCATCTCTTTCCCATCTCCATTGACCCTCTGGTTGCGATGGTTGGTCCCTCTCAGGGGTGAACGCCTCTAACTGACCTTGAAAATCAGAATGTGCATTCTGCATCTGTCCAGCTCCATATCCACCAGCAGGCGAGTCCGCAAAGTTTCCCTGTCTTCTCATTTTCACTTTCCCCCAAAATCTGACCAACAAAAAAAAAATAAACCACTCAGAAAGAAACTTCAGGTGCATTTGCACAAAAGCAGGCATAACGTGAAGATCTCTAACACGAAACTAAAAACATTAAAAAAAAAAAGATTAAATTAGCAGAGAAAATACAATTCTAAAATGTAACAGAAGGAGTGAAGCTTCCAACATGGTGGTTACACACATAAACTAGAGCTATAACAAAGTTTATAAATTAGCAGAGAAATACAATTCGCGTGGATTAAGATATCGGATTCAGATTATGGATTTCTCAGAGATTATTTCAGTAGTCACTTGACGAGCAGAATCGAATAACGTTGATTCGATCTCGTTACAGCCTATAAGTAATTAAGCTCAGTGATAATAAAAATTCATCAGAGAAAACTAATAAAGACGGAAATAACGATGGGATTTGAGAGTTTAACGTACCCGAAGCCGCGGAGGAAGCAGCAGCAGCAGCAGAAGGCGAGGAAGAAGAGCGATACACACAATTTTGGATATTCGGTGGAATCTGGGTCTCCAATTGGGCCGCCGGGTCGGGTCGGGTATGAGCCGTGTATAGTGCGCGTGAAAGTCTTTTTAACACACGCGCTTCTCAGTGATAATCCGGTTCATTAAAATAACTTTTTTTTTAATCTAAATTTGAAGTTTATTTTTTAACAAACAAACAGAGAAGGCTAGTAAAGTAAAGAGTAACTAATTAATTTACTAGTTAACTACTATTAAGAAAACCGTTATGATTAAAAGATGGTGGGAAAGGAAGAAAAAAGAAAAAAAAAGAGAGTTTACAGCTCATGATGATGTCGTACAGTTGACACTCCCAAAACTTCCAAGAAAAGCATCAGATCCAATCTTCCTCTCCCTCAATCATTTTCTCTAGCTAGAGAAAGAAAGTTAAGCTCAGTGAAGAAACCAATGGCTATAGATGATCGACCTCCCCTTAGCCGCAGAATCCGTTTCCTTCTTCTCGCCTGGCTCCGCCGTACTCGCTCCGGTGAGCTACAATTTCATCTCCCAGCTTTTTCAGATTTTACTAGAGATGCAAGAGCCTTCAACAATACTCTCCTGCTTTCAGATTAAACTGTGTAGTTGAGTTGAATCCATTATTCTTGACCTTAAATCTTCACATTCTCAGTTCTTGCTCTCACTTTCGTTGTAGTGTGTATTAAAATTCAGTTCTACAGTGATGCCATTTTGTTCTTGCTTTCTCAGTAGTGTAGGTGAAATGCTTTTACCAGAGTTTGATGAACCATTTAGCTTTTTCTCAGTTTCATGAAACCATTTTGACTGAGTTTGTGTTCTCTGTAAGTGAGTGAGGCCATGTAATTTATTAGTTAGATTGTACTTAACTCGTACCTGGTTAGTTATTAGTTAGTTAGTTAGTTAGTTAGTTAGTTCTGTTTCGAGTAGTGTTTAACTTAAAACTACTCAAGTTGAGCTGCCAATTCTACTTTTTTGATACTTTAGTCACTCTCTATGTTATGTTATGTTTTCTGGAAAGACTTATAACAACCTTACCATTGTGTGTCCATCATATCATCATCACAGGTAGAATAGAGTTTGTGAGAAGATTCGGATACAAGGAACTCGTGAAAGCAACAGAAGGTTTCCGTAAGGTTATTTACACCAACTATCACGGTTCTGCATACACTGCCAAATTCAAAGGTGGTGAGGTTGCTTTGGTCAAAGAACTCAAGTCTCTCGATCTTGGACGTGAGAGGTTTTATGAGGAAGTTCAGCTCTTGGGACGCTTACGTCACCGCCATCTCCTCACGCTTCGCGGCTTTTGCACCGGACCCAAAAGGTTCCCCTTCCTTCTTTCTTTGTTGAAATCTATAAAAGAGACAAAAACAATGTTTTGTTTTGTTAGCTTTTCATTTAATCTTATTCTTGCTTGACTGCTTTTCAGGCTGCTAGTGTATGACAATATTGAAAATGGAAGCTTGAAAGAACATCTCAATGGTAAAAAAAAACTCATAACATTATTGTCATAACAGATTAAATTCTTTACTAATTGCTCTATCTCTTTCTTGATAGATCCTCTGAAGACTCCTTTGAACTGGAAGACTCGTATCCAAATAGCCATTGGGGTCGCAGCTGCATTAGTAAGTTGCTTTTTGAATGAGTATTCTTGTTTATTTAACATTACCGATTATACTACTAAAGGGTGTCAGAAGATGATTATGATCTTGTCTTTAACCGCAGGAATATCTGTTAATCTTCAGCAGTAGTGATGCACAGATCTATGATGTTTCCGTGAACTCATGTAACATCATGCTGGATCAAAACTTCACCCCCAAAGTAAGTTAAATGATTAAAAAGTTCAGTACAGAACTACAGATAAAACTGATTTTCAATAACTGAAAATTTCCTCTCGCAGATAACAGACATCCGCATCAACAGACACACACAAAGCCATCCTAAAACAACCAATGATGCTTGCTCTGAAGGTAAAAACTAAATCTTCTTCTTCTTCTTCTTTCAAAGATCAGAATCATTTTTCGCTTTATTCACGGTTTTAAAAACGGACGTGTAGGATCATGTGCGGATGAAGAATGTGGAAACGTGATATTCCAGCTAGGAGTGTTGATGTTGGAACTGATAACAGGACAATCATCAGACAGACAAGGCGAAGACTTGATCGAATGGGTACAACACTCTTGCATTGCAAACTCCATTGATAAGATGATTGATCCAGATCTTGGCAACAGTTACAACTCTAGAGAACTTCAGAAAGTTCTAGCCGTGGCTCGACTCTGTATTAAGTCGAGGTACGAGCCACCTTCCTTCTCAATAACACATGTATACCGGTATCTACAGAAGAAGATCGATGTTGCATCATAAATAGTAGTTCTCTTCCAGATGTAATAATAGCTTAATAGAGTGGTAAGCATTGTACTAGTCTTGTGTTGTTTCTTGATAAAGCTTCATCAGCAACCCTATACAACTTATGACATATAAAGCATTCTCTATTAACTATAGCTAGAAATTATTTTGGTGAAAAACTCTTGATTTTGCTCATTGAATTGCTGGAGGAGAGGACACAATCTCAAGAACTAGAAAAGTTTATTCAAAGAACAAAAACAAAATTTGTAGCAAGAATTTGGACAAAGTCTATAAGATCCAAAAAATTATAAAAAGAAAATTAAAAAAGGCGCAAATGTTGGATAGCACTAAAATGCGCATGTAGATCACTGCTGAGCACATTGAACACCATGACCACCGCCTGGGCCTTCTTCTTCATCATCGTCATCATAAGCCTCTCTTTGTGTTTGAGCCTTCCTTTTCATCTCAGCTTCCATGTTCACATCATGCAGCGTCGCCTCTTCACACTCGTCTATCTCCATGGCGGTCAAAGCTGCCTTTGTCGGCTTTGGTAAGACAGCTTCAATGGCCTTTGTCTGATTTGGACTCAGCGATTCCGGGAACTCGACAGTGAAGTGGATGTAAAGCTTACCCTTCATGAACGGCCTTTGGTGAATCGGCATTCCCTCGTCGCTTATTGCCCTGTATGAATCTATCAACAAACAAACAACACACCATGGTAAGACACAGCCAAAGCTGGCGTGGATAAAACAATGAGAGAGGCTAATACGTACCTGGCTTCACAACCTCCCCAGGGTTGGATTTGATGAGAAGCTGTCTCGAGTCCAAGTGTGTCAAGACGAACTGGAATCCACAGAGAGCCTCTGTTAGAGTGAGGGTGTGTTCCACAAAGAGATCATCTCCCTTTCTCTTGAACTTAGGATGCTCCTTCTGCTGAACGACAAACACTATATCTCCAGTGACTGTATCAGGCTGATTTGAAATAACAAAAGAAAGTTAATAAGACGAATAATGAATGTAGTGATGATCAAAAGAAGAGACATAAGATGAGAGTGTGTCACGAACCGCTTCATCAGCTTGTCCAGAGAATGTAATCTTCTGGCTGTGTTGCATTCCCTTTTCAACAGCTACTTCAAGCACCTTCTTCTCGGGGATAACTTTATCTCCCTTGCACTGTGGACACCTGTCACGATCATTGATCGACTCTCCTGTACCCTTGCACTCCTGACAAGCATGCTGCATCTGCTGAATCATTCCAGGTCCAATCTGTCTGATCGAGACCTTCATTCCCTTTCCTTGACATCCACCACACTTCATTGAAGCTCCAGACTTTGAACCCTTTCTGCCATATCATAAAAATCAAACTCTTTTTTAAGCATCTTACACATTCAAAAAATTTGAAAGACAAAACAGAGTCACAGAGGTTTTATCTACTAACCCGTTACACTTTGAGCACAGAGCGTTCCTAGAAAGTGAGAGCTTCTTCGTTGTTCCGAGGTAAAGATCCTCCAAGGTAACCCTCAAGGGGTGAACAACGTCCTCACCACGCCTCTGCCTCCTTCCACGGCTGCTTCCGCCTCCGAATGGGCTTCCACCACCACCAAAGAAGGACGAGAAGATGTCAAAAGGGTCGTGTCCACCGCCTCCACCACCCATTCCTTCCTTGAGTGCATCCTCACCATACTGATCGTAAATCTCACGCTTCTCTGGATCACTCAGAACTCCATAAGCCTCACCTAGCTCCTTAAACTACATAAAGACAATTTAAAATACCATTAAACATCTTAAAGTATACAGGCTTCCACAGACAAAACCTATACATGTCATAACATCTAAAGATAAATCAAAATCAAGAATCCAAGTAGCTAGCTTCAAAGACCTAAAGCTCGAAACTTTAAGACCAAACCGGACTTGTATAAATATTTAACGAAGACCCATGAGCTTAAGCGACCTCTATCAATCAAAGAACCCAAATCAAACTATAAAGGAACTAACTTTCTCAAAGGAAACTAATTCAATTCCATAGAATCTAACCCAACTAAAGAAAGGGGGATCTAAGATTCAATACCTTCTCAGGATCTCCACCCTTGTCGGGATGGTTTTTGATGGCGGCTTTCTTGTAAGCCTTCTTGAGATCTTCTGGTGAAGCGGTCTTAGGGACACCGAGGATCTCGTAGAACTTGGTGTTGTCGCTCTTACTCGGAGGTCTTCTTCCGAACATCTTTTCTCTCTTCTCAAGAAAACCCTAATAGAGGAGAGAAAGAAAGTGCGAGGCTTTAACGGCGGAGAGGAGTAGGAGACGGAGTTTGTTTGTTCGAAAGAAGGCTAATTGGGTTTTGCTAATGTTCTTAAGGTCTTGTGTGGAGCGGAGCACTGCTTTTTATAGATTTCTTTTTTTCCTTTTTTACTTTAAGAGTTTATTTTGTTTTTATTCAGTTCTTCTCCTAAAGAAAAAGGATAATTTGATAAATAGAAAAATGGAAATTTAGCTAAGAAATCAAGGATAATGGATTAATTTTAAAATTATATCAACAAATTTATGTACTTCTATTTTAATAAATGCACTGCAAAATACTGAGATCTTCTTTCTATAATTTTGAATTATTATTATCTGTTGTATCAGTCACAAATCTAAATATAATTAATATACATTGATTTTATAAAATTTAAAATATAGATTTTATCAACATAATTTTACTAGACATGTATACATTTTATAGGTGTTTAAAATATATGATAATTTAACATGTTAATTTTTAATATATATATATATATATAGTGACAATTATGATTTGTTATTTTAAATTTTTTTCTAACATATATTATGATTACAATTTACCATATCAAGCAACAAAATTTAGGTATAATCTATAAACTTCAGAAAATTTAATTGGTTAAGATTGTAAATCATATTTAAAAAAAATTAAGTTGTGATTCATTACAATCCAAGCATTTTTATAATTTTCTCTGAGTGTCTACTAACATAGTTTAGAAAATACTAATAACAACAACTAGCATTTGTTGTAGATTTTCTTCTCACAATATGAGAGTATGACATTAGACTTTAGCAACATCTAATATTACTCAGGTTAATAATAAGGGTGGTTATGGGGCAAGTATTTGGAGTTTTTGTTACATTTCTAACTCGATTTGTCCCGTTCGAGTATTAAAAAATTAGCCTTATACTTGTATTTGCTAATATCAAGTATTTGATTAAGCAAGTACTTGTTCATATATGAGATTCTTGCAAGTAACTTGGTGTATTTGTACTTGATTATCTAAAGTAATATTTTTTTGTGTTTGAACTTTTACAATAGAAATTTCATTGCAATGATTTTAAAATTACGTGATTATCTTTATTTAGAGCAAGAAAAATTGCTTATTTTTATGTTACAACCAATGTGAGATAATATAACGTAAAATTTGATTAAAAAGAGAATTATTTGATTATATGTGTTTGATATATTATATAAGTATTAAACTAACTAAATAACAATGTAAATGTTATAAAATATTTTGAAAATCAAGTAACGGATCAAAATGAGTCAAGTAGCTACAATCAATATAAGACTTGTTACTTGGTTTAGACTTGCAAATAATCAAATTTGCTAAATTATTACTTGCCTTGATTATGACAAGTACTTGTGTTTATAGGATAAATACGGGATGGATAACGAGCTTAAAGCGGGTAAAAAAAATTTGTGTCCAGTCCGAGTTATCAAGTAAACTAAAACATAGTGTATAGTGTGAGGAAGAAAAAGTCAAGGTTTCCCACTATTTGGTAACTGGTATAGCTCTGGACATGTAGGCCCAGTCACTTTTAGAGCCCTAAACAAACACATCAAATTGGGTCCCTTAAACCAAACAATATTATAGAAAATTTGGAAACTTTGAGCCCTTTTTAAGTATGAACCATTAAAAAATATATTTCAAAATGTGATCACTTTAATTAATTTTTGTGTTACAAAAAAGGAAAAGTTTAATGGGCCATTCTTGTAGGATAATTGTTACAGCTCTGCCCACTTCTCTTGGACCGAGTTTGGGAATGCCCAGGGCTCATTCGGTAAGCCCCTGGTGAATACGTGTTTTCGTACTTGTAAAATAACATCCCAGCAAATAATAGACCAGTTAACAAATCAGTTGGACCAACCGAAATTAGATACAACATTCAACCTCTAATTTAATTTTTAAAATCAATCAATCACGTTTATTAAAATCAAAAAGAGGAAAATATCACTCCGACATCATCAATTCATCATCGACCGATGATGCTACATCATCGAATTACCGACAACGGAAAACACAACGTAACGCCGTTAAACTCATCCCTCGATCAAAAATATAAACAAACACTTGACGACGTCAGTGGTTACGCTTGTCTGTTAACAATTGACACAAATACCCCTCCGTCTCATAAAAAAAAAAAACTAATATTTTCGCGTCAATTACAACGCAACAAAGGAAGAAAGAACACAACAAATCGCTCTCTCTCTATCTCAATCGTCTACCATTCATCATCATCACCACCACTTACTGTGAGAGATCACTATTGAAATCTCAAGATCTCTCTAAAAAGCTCCGTAAATCTATTGAAATCTGAAGTTTTTTTCCCCAGAATCTTGAGAAAAAAAATACTTCTTCATCGTCTTCCTTCTACGATCTCGTTCTGAGAGAGAGAGGCAACAAATCGTAAATCTGAATTGAAGGATCTCCGTTGATAAAAAGAGATCGACTTTCGTCAAACCCATCTGCTCAAAATCAATGGAAACTTCTGGGTTTCTCAAGATTCAATCAATAGACGATTTCTAGGGTTTCAGATTTCGAACATCGAAATGTACTACTCAAAACAGTTCATCCTCTCCTTCTCCTTCCTCCTCTCTCTCCCAATCATCTTCTTCATCTTCATCGCCCCACATGTCTTCCCTTCTCCCCCCACCGAATCCCTCATCCCAATCTCCGACGAAATCTCCGACCAAACCCTCTTCTCCTCCGCCGCCGCCTCCTCCACCTCCCTCTCCCACCTCTCCTCCGGCTACCCCAACCCCAAACTCAAAATCGCCTTCCTCTTCCTCACAAACTCCGACCTCCACTTCTCCCCGATCTGGGAAAAATTCTTCTCAAACCACCCAAAATCCCTCTACAACGTCTACGTCCACGCAGACCCTTTCGTGAACATCACACGCCCCCAAAAAGACTCCGTCTTTGCAAACGCATTCATCTCAAACGCGAAACGCACCGCACGCGCCTCCCCGACGCTAATCTCCGCCACGCGCCGCCTCCTCGCCACCGCCTTCCTCGACGACCCGGCCAACACTTACTTCGCCGTCCTCTCCCAGTACTGCGTCCCTCTACACTCCTTCGGCTACGTCTACGCCTCTCTCCTGGAGTCTCCCACGTTCGATAAAACGGATCCGGATCCGAATCCGGGTCTTAGAGGTGTCCGGGTCGTGTACCGGACCTTCATCGAGCTTATCTCGGACGAGCCGAGGCTTTGGAAACGGTACAACGCTCGAGGGAGGTACGCTATGTTGCCTGAGGTTCCGTTTGAGAAGTTTAGAGTTGGCTCTCAGTTCTTTGTTATGACGAGGAGACATGCGTTGTTGACTATTAAGGATCGTGTCTTGTGGAGGAAGTTTAAGCTTCCTTGTTACCGTTCGGATGCTTGTTACCCTGAGGAGCATTATTTTCCGACGTTGTTGAATATGAAGGATCCGGAGGGGTGTACTGGGTATACGTTGACTCAGGTTAACTGGACTGGGACTGTGAAAGGGCATCCTTATACTTATAGACCCAAGGAAGTTGTGCCGGAGTTGATTAAGAGACTCAGGAGGTCGAGTCACTCAGGGTCGTACCTTTTTGCGCGGAAGTTTACTCCTGATTGCTTGAAGCCATTGTTGGCTATTGCGGACTCGGTGATTTTCAGAGATTAAGGTTTTTGTCGGTATGTGTTTCTCAAAGCCTCACTCTCGTTAGTTTCATCCTTGTAGTGGAGTACTATCATAGGTTTGTGTGACTTGGTTTAGGAACTTTACTGTAGGGATTGCTGAATCTAAACATGTTTATAAGTAGAAGTTTGGCTGTGGTGATAAAATTAGAGTTGTTATGTTTTCAAATCATTCATCAGGCTCTGGTTTATCAGTGAAATGCTAAAGAAAAGTAGTTTGGATTATGTGTAAGGATTCCATGTGTACAGGTTTTACATTACTTTCTGTTCATGAGACAGAAGAGTCAATTTTGGATTATACAAATCTGTTATGAAAAGGATACCGTGCTCTTATCAGCTGCATTTCTTTGTTATATTTTTGGTTGAGAGAATAAGTGAGAATACAGTTTATTGGTTTAGATCACTCAAGCCCTGATCTTATAACTATTAATAAATCTGTAGTGTAACTCTAACAAGTCTGATTATATGTGAAACTTTGGTTATGGTGGAAATAGAGGATATTAGGCACTTCGGTTGTTATCAATGGGGGGAATTTATCAATGATATGCGAAAGAAAAACATGTATATTTAGTTAAGGTATATGTCTACATTGGCTTGACTTTACAACCTGATCATTAATCATAAGAAATATTTTGATTTTCTGCCATGATATGTGCTTCCTGCATTTATCAGTTTCTTCTCTCTGTTATGTTATTGTTTTAAGAAGTCGTGTGGTATTTGCATTGAGTTGGTGTTCTCTTAATGAACTTCAGAAAGTATAAACAAATTTCTAAATTCGATTCTTCTTCTGCGTATGTCTTCTCAGGGAAAAGTTTTGGTGATTTTCTCGTCTGCAAGCAAGTGGCATGAGAAAAATAGAGTAAATTTTGGAACCAGATGAGTATCAGGAGTAAGAAGAGGCAAGGCAAACAGTCTTTGGGAGGCTTGAAACTAAATAAACCAGTTTCAGTGGTACTTCAAGCGCACCTTTGTACGTTGTTGTCACATTATATATCACACGAAGGCAAAGATTAAGCCACTTTGAGATAATCTAAGGTGTAATTTTTATATTCTTTTTTTTTGGTTCTTTTGGATCTGGTGCTGTACATAGCAGAGGTCTTTTTAAACCCCAAGGTGTGGGAGGTCTGTACCATTATGGTTGTGTCAAGGAAATCTATGAAGAGAACATGCTATTTTTCTTGGCATTATGTAGTTCCACACTTCCACACCAAGCAGCACAGTGATAATAAAAAGATGAAAGTTTGTTAAGAGGCCATAACAAACTAACAGTGAGGTTGAATGGGTCTAAACTAACAGTGACATAGGCAGGTTCGGAGTCAAGATCATGGATTAAGAAAAGCACAAACCCTGTTTTCTCTCGTTCCTTCCCACAGTGCTTCATGCTCACGCTTTTTCTTCCATTCCATATCTCCTTTTTTGTTCTTCTTCATCCTTCTTCAGTCTTCCTTCTTCTTCTGATATCTAAATGTCAAGGAACAATAACACACACACAAAAAAAAAAGAATGAATCGTCTGACTTCTCACAAAGACAATATAACCCAAGGCAAACTAGAAACTCTGCATACCCTCATGGCCATTTTTCTTCTACGCCATTCTTGGTCTCTGTTAATATCTCTCGGACCTTTAACTTAAGCTCCTTCTGAAACTCTTCAGATTGCTCATATATTTGCTCATGCTTTCCCTGTCTAAATAAAAATATGTATCACTACAAGTTCAGAAGAGTCTCAGCTAAATAGCTTAGATCTAAACTCACAAAACGGTTTCCTTACCTCATCAACCAATGACTTTATTTTAGAGGCGGTATCTTTCTTCAACTGTTTCTTTCTCTTCAGTCTTCATCTTAAGCTCTTCTGCATTTCACAGAAAGAACAATAGAAAGTAAATTACAGATTCTGGTATTAACTTTCAAATGATCTAACACTATATATGTGTCTCCACAACACAAGGTTGGGTCTTAATAACTCTAGTAAACCAACAAACTGGTAAAACATGGATCCAAGATGACTATCAAAACCTCATCTGGCAGTGTAAGTGACAGAGATGAAGAATACATTTCTGTACTGTCTTTTAACATCATCCATGGAAGAATAGAAAGATAAGTTGAGAAGCTCAAAGGGGTTCAGCTTTTAAACATGAGAGAATCCTAAAAAGTCTCCAGTTTTTTTTTTTTTTATAAGATATGATCGTAAGAGCATACAGTAAAAATCAAAGTAATAGCTACTATCCAATGGAAGCTATGTGCACAATTGTTGTTATCCATGAAATCAAATCTCTATTGAATGATTGAAGGAGATTGGTTGTTACTTGTTAGTTGTCACGAACCTGGGATAGAAATCTTATATAGTTTTCGAATCAAATTTTAATCTAACTGTGATAATTGATACAAATATATGATGATTACAATTCAACGACTTGTATATAACAGTTGGTATCATAGGTTCATATATGTCTACATCATAATGTTTTCTTTGCGTTGTATAAAGATCAATATAGGGGAATTTGATACATAACTAAATAACTTGTCCAAAAGGTTTTGTTTGAAAGAAAAAAATGTGACCGTTGAAACATAACTTAGATGTCATCATTCAAAAGCTTTTTACAGGTTGAACCGTGCTGGTTTTTCTTTAGGTACGTCATAACGATCTCTTGCCATTTCCTCGCGATTAGATTATCAACCAGCTACATGCAAACACGCCTCTCGATTCATTTATAATATATCTAAGTCTAAGTAAATGACTGATAACAAAAACTCAAAAAGAGTTTACCTGTACACAAAAAAGAATTTAGGTATTATTACCTATTTGTTTTAACCGCATATATAGACTTAAAAATGTGGTTATTAAATATTTTTAAGTTAATTATATATATATATATATATATATATATATAATTAGTAGTTTGAGGGAGAAATTAATGTTCCATAAAAAGCAAAACAAACAAATAAAACAACGGTTGTATATGAAGATGAGGTTTTTAATTCATGATTTAATATATTTTTAACACTTTTTGATTAAAAAAAATGGTTTTTCTATCTCTTAACCGAACCTACATATCTCAGTTAAGAAACTGGGGTTACTCATGATCTTAAAAAAAAAAAAAAAAAGTAAATCAAGTGATCGTTTATTTAGGCTACGTACACTGTGCACAATTGACAATAAGTGCTATTATCTCGATCTCCTTCTAAACCTCTCTATATATACTACCCTTACCACAATCAATCTCCTGAAAAAGAACATATTATCTCTTTCGTTAGTTTTAATATCTACCTACAAACAATTCAAAATTTCGACAATTATGGGTTCCTGTAAAGTGTGTACGTTTGTTTTGGTATTTGCTTTGGTCACTCATTTTACTACTGTTGGAGGTGGTGGTGGCAGCGGTTGGATTGGAGGCGGAGTAGGAGGCTTTAGTGGGGAAATAGGCGGTGGATTTGGTGATTCTGGCCAAGCTGGAGGGAGAGGAGGAGGATTTAGCGGCAGAGTAGAAATTGGCGGCGATGCAGGTGGAGAAGCAGGCGGTCGTGGCGGTGGAGGTCACTGAGGATTTCTTATGTGCATTGACGAGGAGCTACGTACGAATCCCATGCATATGTTAAATCTACTATAATTAAAAGGGCTTATTCTAACCTTCTTAAGCTGTCCACGTTGGATCAAATAATCAACCAATCAGATAGTTTAAATTTGCCACGTCACTTCTGCTTGAGATAATAAACACGATTCGCTTTCTCTGGCTTCACCTTCTCCGTTTCCCCTTCTCGCGATCTTCATCACCATTAACAATCAAACTTACTCTTTACTCTTTCTTCACCATCTCTTTTCTGTAATCTCCTTCCAGGTATGGGTTTCCTTTCGATTTCGCCTCACTACTTTCGATCCCTAATTGCATCCTCGATAGTAAAGTTTCATTGAACTTTCTAATAATCTATTTTCTTAGACTACTGGGGTTTGTTGCTTGGACTTTAAACCCAGATCGAAAGTGCTTTGTGGATTGCATGAAAGTCTCAAGGTAATTTCTTCAGGGCATTTCAATTAAAGATATACATCGCAGGTGATTTTTCTTGGCAAATCACTTTGAAATTGCTATTATTACTTTACCATTTTTAATATCTTTGACACTTTTATTTCTGAGTAAGCAATTCCTTGAATCTTTCTCTATTATTATTTCTGATTACTTTTACTCTCTTTTGCTTCCCTTCCGTTTTTTTTAAATCTCAGGAGATGGCGACAAGGTTTGATCGGTAGGATCAGCTCCACAGGGACCTTCACGCCGTTCTCAGAACTACCAAATGGCAGGTTTCATTCTTTCTCTCCTTCTCTGCTCTCATACTGTTTCATTGTGTATCGTTTATTGGTTGTCAGTATCTTTTCTCTGTAGTTAGATGAGTTCCAACGAGCTGTTCAATCTAGCTATGACAATGGTTTGAAAGGTGAAACTCGAGTCAGGCATCGTAAGTGTGAGTTTACTTTCGCTATGGAGACTCAGGATGTGAAGATAAATAAGTCTCACAAAGAAGCTAGCGAAGGAACTCTGAGACGGTTTGTTTGGCGAAGATGATCAAGATGGTCGTAATGATCTTGCCCTTTTTTGGCTGGGCCATCTGACCCTGAAAGGAAATAACTTTCCACAAATGGTGTAAAATAGTTCAGCTTCAAGGACATAGAAGGACGGCGAGTGATATCATGGTTCTTTGATTGCTGTTTCTGGTTATGGGGTACTCTACAAAGCTTTGGCGAGCCTTTGTCCGACCTCCACGAAAATTTCCCAGCTTCTCACCTCCACAAAAAGTTCCCACCTTCTCTGGCTTCTTGAAATATATGGAGTCTGGCTCCAAAAACCCCTTTAGAAAGTGGAAGGCCTTAGATCGCCAAGGAGACTCTGATGCTGCATTGTTACCTATCCAAACTAACCAAGCAAGATCTTCCAATTTAAGGTTTTTCCCTTTTGTTTAGAATCTCTTACTAAGAAGCTTTCTTACCTTTTCAACAGAATGAATGTTTTGATAGGGAAAATATTTGTATGGAGTGAGTGCAAAGAGCTGCATGTTAATGTAATCTGCTAACAAAAAAGTCTTCAGGATGCCTAATTCTGATGCTAGGGCTAGATTTGCCACTGCCTCCTCTTTTCAAAGATGTCATGGGAGAAAAAACATAATTCCGCAGGTACATGCATCTTGCTTTAAACTGTTAAGTTACAGCTATTTCAAACCCTCCGAAATATTCTGCTCTGTCCCTTTCACAAAATGTATTCTTAGCTACGCTAGAAAAGTATAAATTTCACTTTATGAAAATATATTACACTTGGCTGAGACACATTAACACTGATAACTGTTTAGTGGATTAGTCGCTGTCCTAGAGAATAGATTATACTGTCTTTTTGTGAGTTAGGAAGCGAAGAATTCTATGACTTCTTCAACCTGTAGTAGCCTTTAGGCTTGCCATTTCGTCTTTGAGTTTGTAGTAAGCAGAAGCTAATTTCTTTGATGTTTGGGTCAGGTTGCTCTATTCGATCTGTTGAAGAAGTTTGATGAACATCACAACGAAATAATATTGTTTGCGTACGGTTCAGTGGGAGGATTTCCGACCATGACAGGTGGTTCCAAGATGACGAATCTGCTCTTATATGTTTGTGATCCTCTTATCTTGCTCAAAAATCGCTTCCCCTAGAGGTATGGATCTCCTAAGTCATTTGTTTTTGCATTTAGTTGTAACAGAGTAACTGCTGTTACGAAGATTGAAAAAATTATGTTCTATGTGTCGTAGATCATTTGATTTGATGTGTAATATGAAAATTTCTTAGACTTTTTCAAATTTAGAATCTTGAGAGGAATCACAAAAGCTGGCAGATTACTCAAGTGTAAGTTTTCATTTGTAGTTAGCTTTCTAATATCTTATAAGTTATAACTTGTGCCTCTCAGCGAGAATACTTTTTATTCCTAAATAATGAAAAAGCATTACCATCTTTGATTTGTGTTTTGCTTTTCTGTTTCAGCTATGGTTTTTACAACGATTGTTTGAGGAAGTACGGGAATGCATTACCATTAGAAACTGATGTTAGTTTGTTACTCTCAAACACAAACAGCCTACTACAAGGTACATTTTAAAAAATTTAGTCCAAAATGGTTAAATTCAATCACATTTTGTTTGTCCAAAAAGTTTGATAATGTCTCATTGTTTGAACACTGAAATAAGGTATTATTGGGGGAGTTATGTACATTAAAAGGACATACAACGATGCAATGCAGCAAATTCAGAGTATTATGCAAGCAAAGAAGTAGACCGATATGTAAAAGCCTCAAAATCTTGGAAAGTTTTATTAGTCACTGCGTTTCTTTTTCAAGTTTAGAAATGCTTCCCTGAAGAAACTGCAGTGGACCAACCATCTGAGTCGGTGTATTTGATTGTCTCGCCAACCTCCTCCATGACGATTCGGTGGTCAATGGTGTTCAGCCTAAGCTCAAATTAGCGACAAGCGTCAATCCTAAGTTCCTCGGAGGTATGGTTCGTTCTAATAACTATGTCTACTTAATGAATCCCGCTTCTCATTACATTCGTGCATAACAATTGACATTCTTTGCTCCTCAGCTCACTCTATTAAATGTTGCATACCCCAAGGAATGTGGGATGTTGCTTCTTCCTCTGCCTACAGTTGCTGAGCTTAATGCATACGTTCTCAACTCTGGCCCACAAGTGAAATATTTCACTCATCTCTTACTCAACTCTTCTTACCTCCGTATACATAAATGGTTTCCCATCTATAATGTGGACATGCTGTGGAGTTTCTTTGCAGGGGGAGTTGACAATATTGAAACTACAAATGGATAGTGCTCCACCTCATTCTCGAAATGGTCTAAAAAGCTTCAGGATGGTCACATCATTTACATGTGTATCATAATGACGTTGGTGTTCTAAGGAGATCCTTCTTAAACTCATATTTACTGATATTTTTACAGCAATGACAGCAATATTAAACTCACCAGCGTTAACAAATCTTGCCACCTTTATATATGCAGGTATCCTGTCAAAACCTCTGATTCAGATAGCTCGGAGTCGGCTGTCTTTGTGGCTTTTGATGTGAAATGACAAAGCTAACCAACACTCGTGCTGCAGATGTTGTACAACTTATGGTAGCACTAACCAATAACCATTCCAATTCATGTGGCAAACACTTGACAAGCACAACCACTGAAAGAAAGGATAAGCTAGGATTCTCTGGTGATCACTCCAATGACACTTACCCTTCCATTTTAAACATAGCTTTTCAATAACAAAAAAATAATTACATCACTTTAGAGCTGAGGATGAGCTACCTTTCCGTCCAATTGTATTACCTATGTTCAAACTATCCAACGAATTATCCAACGAATTACATGCCATAATAACGTCAAAATTGATAAGGTGTTAATAAGCTTGATTCAAACGTCAATGGATCCCCAAATACAGACGCCGTAGGTCCGTAACTTTTCAATATGTATTCAATTCACATGCATCTAGATATTGAATTTCCGGATATCTGAAAAGCTATAATTTTAACATTGTATCTGATCTATACAAATAAAAAATTATTATAAACTAATAATATTCTACTACAAAATAAATATTATTAATTATTTAAACTCTAACAACTAAAAAATTAATTTAGTATATAAAAGATGGTAATTTTTACAAAAGTATAATAAATATATAACTTATATATATAATAATTTTAATATATGTATATATATTCCTATAACAAATAGGGAATTTATCCATTTTAAAATATTAATATTGTAATTTACTTCATTTTTATGAATATTGTATATTAATATTGTAATTTACTTCATTTTTATTGATATCCAAATTTTCAGATATAATCAAAACAAAACAAAAACGACCAAAACATATTTTACAAATATTTTTCCCGCTCTTATCTCTAGCGGCCCATAATAATACACGTCAATTTCCCAAAATTGTACCAAATAACACGGAAATTGTATCTTCAAAGACAAAAAATGACAAAAAAACACACATACAATCAGTTTTTTTTTTGTCGTTAAAATGCTTTTTATTAATTAAAAATACAAGACATTACAAATTAAAAGCGCGGAAAATAAAAATAGAAGATGGTAGAGGAAACAGACTAGAAGAGACATGGGGGAATACATCAAGATGAAAATTAAAGAGATAGGAGGTCCTCTCCAAGTGCGTTTCTTAGCTTTGTCGTAGATAAAGCTTTATTTCTAACATGAGAGTTTTATAGAAACACATTGTAGGAGGGCGAGTGAGGCCCTTATGGACCGTCTATTCCTCTCTTTCCAAGTTTCGTAGATGCAGGCACCAACCTTGAATAAAGCCATATGACTGACCATTGGAGAGGTAGTTGCTGGGAGCCAAAGAAGGATGAGATTCCACACTGTAGATGGGCTTTGACGACCTATTCGTAACATTATTTCGCGCAATACAATTGATGAGTAGTTACACTCAAAAATAAACGATCCATTGATTCATCACTTTGGTACCTGTGTAAAAGGATACCAGGAAATCCTCTGCCTTTGCGTCCAAATCACGTTCCACAACTTTGAAATACACCGAAAACATTTGTATGAATATTTTCAACCACAAACAATCACAAAATACCAAACTTTAAAAAACCCCAGAAATTCACATAAACGATTAATCTCAAAGGCCAAGTGAAAATACATCCGCCAATTTCAAAAGAAAACTCATCATAACAACTAGGTAAACCTGATGGAACTACAAATCCGCTTAACCAAAATAAATTATATATAACACAATTACTTAACAACATATTATATCTAACACATAACTTGAAAGTAAATGGAAATAAGTGGCATCATCTAAAAACCATAAATGTTTTCTAATACTATAATTTTGAACTAAATTGTAAGTAAAGAAAATGCAAGCTTAGTCGTCTAAAGAAAAAGAATAAAATAAGTTGAGATTAATCAAATATTTTTATAATAATCTAAATATATCAGATAAAAATATTTTTGATAAAAACTAAGGTTTACCAAATTCTTTAATTCTACTCATATTATTGTAAAAATAATACATGGTGAGTTCTACTCATATTTAATTCAATCTATTATTTATATAATCGTGAGAACATTGATCTAATATATAAAATTAAATGTAAAGATATTTATACAAATTACCCGGGCGTAGCCCGGGAAAAGTCCCTAGTATGATATAATAATTACGAATAACTTTTCAGTAAAATTAAATATGATATAGTAAAAGATATGTTTGTCTTTTCTCTATTTTACTTGCAAGTTGTAGACTTTGTGTGCTTATACAAGACCATAATGTGTTATATTGTTCTTTTTTTTTTGTTGTTCTTTATACATAACTTGGGAGGTATATATCGTATATTTCATATTTCATTACAGTACTTTGAAAAATATGTTTTTTTATAAGTTTGACAAAATATGTTACTATTTTACGTGATTATGGTTACGAATAATTGCACGAGAAGTTGGAAGAATAAACCATGCATATTTATGCACACAACAAATCTTATTTATATGTTTCCAAGTTTAAGACAGATTATATTTTCTAGGTTCTGAACATATCTGATCTTTAAAAAAGCTCGACAATCAGTCACGTCCAGTGAATGTGTTTGAGCATTCCTTAAATAACCTTTTTGCTGATATAATTTTAACTTTGATCATCAAGTGGTGCAATCAGGAACATCAAAAGTTTGTACAAAACACAACAGTCATTCATTTCATCATATCATTCTTACTCGAATAAGGTCTCTAGCTAATTTTAAAATTTATTGTTTATTTTTTAATCCACAAACCAATAAGGCAAGTGATAAAACATATAATATGCAAAAAAAAAATAAGTAGAACACCATCAGCAACAACAGTTATTTGGTTGACATGGATATATATTTCGAGTATACATACTCGAATATAAATACACATAGACAGATATATCATATGCTTATGCGTCTTGTAAATTTCTCCTTCTTGGTAGGCTCTTAAACTTATGAAGTGGCAATGCAGAAACGCTCAACAGACAAAAGAGACTTCCTTGGTTCCTTGCAACCATTTATCCAATCATGTGTAACATAGTTTTGGGCTTGAAATTTGGTTTTTGTGTTTTGGCCCAAACTTTCATTGTTAGTAGGCTTCCAAGAGTAGTCACATGTGTTGAAGCAAGCAGCTCCAACGGTGTCGTCCACCGTGGACGGTGGTTTCATTGACCGAGCTAGCTGAGCAACCCTTGGCCTCGGTGGAAGAGAGTGGACTACAGGCATGGACAGATCGGATTTGGTTTCGGACTCATCTGTAACGGGCCATCTCGAGTTTATCTTCGGTACTCCAATAGGCTTACATGCCAACCTATGAACAGTCACAGGCCCAATAGACTTTTGTGCCAACTTATATAAAAGCCCATTGGGCTTGTAGGCAAACTCGTCTTGTACCTCCTCTTCCTCTTCTTCTTCGAACCACTGAACCTCATCAGTTTCGTCTTCTTTGTCATTAACTTCTGCAAAAGTGAGGAGGAGACGTCCGTCTTGTCGCTTAGCGGAGAAGTTGTTGTGAGACGGCATAGAGACAGCCTCAAGAACCAAACGCCCATTGTCACGGCGAGTTTTCATGTGCAGAGCAGAACCTGTCTGGCTCGAGAGAGAACGAATCGGTGGAGGAAACGAGCCTCGAGGCAGCTCCATGCAGGTTTTCTGATTTGGAACCGTGATTTGTTCGTGTTCAACCTCAACACCAAACTCTGTTTCTTCCTCCTCTTTGGTCACTGTAACTTCAAGAACAAGATTCTCCTCAGTCTCCGAAGATTCGTACGTGGAGAAAACTTCGCAACCCGTCTCGGATCCGAGGCTCTCAGTGCAAATCTCGAGGCTTTTCTCGCTCAAGGAGCTGGCGCGTTTCATCAGAGGATGAACATACGGTGGAGGAACAGTGTCTGTGTTCTTCTTCTTGTCTGATAAAATTGAACTCCAGACATCGGTTTGGTCCGGTTCGGTCTCACCCTTCTTCTTGTTCTTGTCTTCTTGAATCTGAGCCCATATATCAACCCCAGATCTTGATCCTTCTTCTTCTTCTTTGGAGCTGAATGAATCAGCACCAAGGTTATGGAGCTTCTCCGAGGAAGAGATCCTCTTCATAGGAGAAACCTCGTTCTGCGAGAGCCATTTCTTGGACGACAAGTCAGCGGAGAAAGTTCGCCTAAGTGAAGGTGCGGATGAAATGTTGTTGCTGCCACCAAGGATGGTCACTATGCCTTGCTGCTTCTTCAAAGAGGAAGAGAAGCCAAGGCTCTTGCTTAAACCACAAGCCATCATCTTCAAAATGAATCAGAATCTTTCAACGCTATTCCCTCGCTTTACTGCACAGTTAAAATTGGAATGTTTTAACAAACACTGGTTACATTAATCAAGTCAACAAATGAAATATTTGTGTATCCTTCTTATTGGATGAGGATCTTGTTCTGGAAGTGTAACATACCTGAGATTTGAGAAAGATCAAAGTGTGGGTGAAAGTTTAAGTGTGTTAATTGGTGGTGTTAAGAGAGGAAGAAGATGATGGATGAGAATGTGACATGAAGAGAGGGGAGTGAAGATGCGGTTATATATAGTGGTTCTTTCATTATGGAACCATGTACCGTGGGGTCCTCCAAATGACACTACTCACAGATTTTCTTTTTTTTTTTGGTATTTTATTATTGTCTTTTTATAAACAAAAACCCTTAAATACTTGTTTAAATTTTGAAAAGATGTCTAATAATGATGCACTAAGTTACAAATGTTTTCAAGATGTTTTCTGATGTGTTCCGTTAAAACTATTTACTGCAAGAAATTAGAGTGTTGACCTTAAACTTTGTAGTTTGCATAGTGTATGGTTATTGACTTATTGTGTCAATTATTGATTTCGTTTTCTCACTGTTCCAACTACATCAAAGTATTAAACAGATTACTTCTATGTCATATAACTATAAGTCTATAAGAATTAAGTTCGCACATGCACACGATCTAAAAGTTGTCTATCATGATAACGGTGATCACAACCAAAGATGGGGACTAAAAAAATGTGATTCTATCAATTTTGTAAGTTGTAACTAACGCGTGTGGCGAGAAAAAAAGTAACGGATATGAAATTAAACATATATAAAATGGATACATTTATGTCAAAAAGAAGAAAACTGTTGACGTATGGCATCGATACTCTGTTGAACCAATAACGTGGCACATTGTGGAAGTCACAATTTTCATCTTTCTCTTTTGAGTTAAAACGATGAGAATGTTCCAAAAATATGCAAAGAAAGCTGGATGCCATTATCAGGATTTTCTATTGTTTTAAAGTTACCTTTCTACCACTTGGTTTATTTTAAAGCATGTCATAGTTGTTATAGGATAAAATTTACATAATATATCAAGGCCGGCCCTGAAATTTCGGGGGCCTGAAACAAAATAGAAAACGGGGGCCGGTATACAACATCACAAAAATTAAAACTTGTAAAAATACTTTCAAATACAAAATACTAATAAGACACAAGTTTACTCACAGAAAAAATAACAATTGTCTACATCTTTTGAAACAAATTTGAAGTGGACAGTATATGATTATTAAAATTTTATATATATAATATAATTGGATTTTTATTTTTTTGGGGCCTATAAAATTGGGGGCCTGTTGCAAATGTTTCATGAGGCAGTGTCCAGGGTCGGCCCTGTAATATATACATATATTATTTGAAAGATTTAGTTTAATATTACTAAACAAACGACTTGCTATTTGTTTGGCGTCTATGGTAGAGTAGTATGGGTGAATTAGATATATCATATATATCGAGAAATCCACAATATATATCGAGAAATCCACAATTTTTATACAGTTCAGTCCTTTTTTCGGTTGCAGATCAATTATTAAATATTTCACTTGATGATATATATATATTACATGCATACCTAGAAGATCATTTTGCTTCAGAGAAAGATAACTGAAAGTAAGCTTCCTAAGATGAGCAGTATTATCAGAGGTGATAATGAGGTGCTTAACCCTTAGAAACCCACCAAAACATCAAGTTTCGACGTCTATAGCTGCTAAATAAGCGTTTGATTTTTGTTGTTGTTTCAATTGTTTTCGTGGCGGTGCGTGATCAATTACTTTTAATTTTTTTATTTTTTTAAATCAGGAAAAAAAAAATTTAAGCACTCTCTTTTTGGAGTTCCAGGATAATACTGCTTTAAAAGAAATGAATATGGGTGTAAGTCGAAAAAAAAAGAATATGGGTGTAAAATGTAAACTTAAGATGGGTCTAAAGTGTAAAAATATATATCGTTTGAAATTTAGCAATTATGTTCAAGTAAAAGAAAATATATATCGTTTGAAATTTACTTAGGGTAAAGCACAAGTTGCTAGATATTAGGAGTAGGATACGGTCTTGCTGAAAAAAAAAAGAGTAGGATACGGTCCGAGAGACAGAGACGTCTGCATGGGGACACGAAGACTGAATATTTTTTTTGTTGTACGTGCGTATATATGTATTATAGCAGTATATTTGACGTTGATAATTATGAGGATGAGATCATTATTGGTCCTATCACAAAACGATAAAATTTTATAGAAGTATCAAAAAGTTATCAACTGCGTACCCCTACGTACGTACATGTATTCTTCTCTTACATTGATTGTAAGAGCTCATTCTTCTTTTTTGAGTGGTGTGTGTAATCGCATCATATCTCCAGAATATTGGCCCGTTACGTCTAATCCTTAATTGTAAGAATTAATGATTATATCATATAAGTACACCAATATTAAAACGAAATATCCTCACTAGATCTAAAATTTCAATAACCAAAAATATCTAAACTATTCATATATTTTTAGCCACTCCCTGCCCTTTGATCCATATTTTTCGCTCATTGTACTTTGTGTCTGGTCTAGACTTACACATTGTATATTCTCTTGCTAAAACTGTAGCTAATCAAAGAGGCTTTACAATCACTAACTCGTGTGAATTACTCGGATATCTGGAGTAAAATGTATTTTGCGTAGGACTTGGTGGTAGGACATGGTTTAAACTGTGAACGTTCACATATATATTGTCGATTTTTTTTCCCTAGTGTGTTGCAAACGAAACCATCTTTTATGCGGAAGATAAAGGAAATGGCTATTTTTTTCTCTAGAATACTAATATTTAAGTTTTTATTTCCAATACCATCTTTAGTTTTTATCATCTAATAATATCACACTTCTTAAACATATCTACAACTTATAGGGAAATCAAAGCTTTAAACTGGAAAAGCGAACCCAAATACACAAGCTTCTCACACCCTTGATTATTGCTGTTGAGTAGTTTTCAGTTATCTATTTAAGGGAGATCAAATTGACCATATGGATACAATTTATATTACAGATTGTTTTTGTTGTTCATATATTTATCTCTTATATTTACATTTCTTTGTCAAGTGTTATCTGTTAAATCAATTTACCATAAAATCGTTCACTTAATTACTCGATAGTTAATTTGAAAACAAAAAGTAATACAGACAAGAACAATAGAACATGTGAAACTTGGTTCTGAATAGTGCTAATATATAATATAACTATTTTTTACATAAGTATGAAACAAATTATTTAATTTGTTTTAACATAAGCCAACATATATTAGTTTGGTTGTAACAAGAAGAAGACTATAGAAAAATGTACCAATTTATGCTATTTTCTATAAATAAAACATGAATAAAACTATCATGCACTAAGTTCTAAACCTTCATCAACCTTTAGAAAGATTTTAAATGTTTATCAAACGACTTGTGATTTTTTGAGAAAAAAAAAGTAATTTTGGAAACAAAACATCAAACTAATATTTTAAAATTTTACCAAAAGGAGAAACACAAAGGCAGAGACATCCAAAAAGAACAAACATTTCCAATTAGGTTAAAGGAAGATAGCGAGAGACACTCATTGTGGGCAGAACATCGCTTAAGATGGAAGCAAAGGAATTGCCTTTCTTCTTTTGAAGGACCAATTCAATTGGACTGACCAATTAGCTTACAAGAAAATAAAGTTCATCAATATATAGATTAGTCATAAGAACATCGATAAATATTGATTTTCGTAAGGCCAACGATTACTTTTTGAATGTGTGGGGGAATATGCCATTGTCTCTTCACACTTAGGAAAATGTGCGACATACATAGAATTATTTCGGTTACTTTTCACATCTAGTTTAATTAGTTCCGTAATTAATTTGGTTACACGCTTTTAGAGATGTTTTTTGTAGCTAGTATTTGTAAACATACTGGTGTAAGTGTGGAATCAATTAAAAGAACAACACACATTTAAGATACAAGATAACAAATGAAAAGACCTAAAACGCTAGAGATAGTAATAGCATAAGGAGTTTATTCGATAGCTTCGGATTCCTATTTATCTATTTGTATTGTTTGTTTTTGTTATATATCAACATACGTGGAATATTCTCTCATTCTATTTATATTATTTAGAAGTTCCCTCCTATATAGATATACGTAGCATCATGATGTAACAGCCGCATATGGTTCAGAACCGATATAGTTCAATGTTTTTTTTTTTTGCTTAAAAATATAGTTCAATGTTTATGGAATCTATTCTCAAAAATATAACACAGCAATTACCAAAATGATGTTAGTTACTAAAATTTAAGATGATTAATTGATTCGCTTCATAGCGTTCTAGAAAACGTGTTATGCATAACATTGCTAAATATATTACTCCATCCGTTCCTAAAAGATCCATGTTCTGGAAAAATATTTTGTTTCAAAAAGATGTATATTCTATGTTTTCTATGAGAAAATTACAAGTTTCAAAAAAATTAATTGGTTTTATTAGATTATTAAAATGACAATTTAAATCAAAATAATAATAAAAAATCTATCTTTTAGGAACAGAGGGAGTATAAATTACTTGAAAGTATTTAGTTATATATCTGAAAGCTTATAATATAAATACCTAAATTATATCATTTGGGCATTCTTAGTAAAACAATAAGAAAACATTTTTCATGTATATTAAAACTTCAAAACCAATTTTCTAGTCCAAATCTTTGAAACTTAACTCGAAATACAACAATTCTGGTTTTGAGAACAAACACACAGACATAATGATGAGTTTTGAGTTTTTAGGTAATCAAGAGCTTACCCAACAGAAGAATCACGAAAGTGGAAAGCAACCGAAAGCTCGTATCTTGTAGTGTGCATGTTGGGTCCTTTTGTCTCTCTTTTTCTCTCTCTACGGATGTGCAGAAGATGCTTCATATACGTAGCGTCGTTCATTAAAATAAAAACAGTTAACAGTAACCCAGCAAAAAGGTCTCGATGTTGATCCCTTTCTGATAATTTATAGGTTAACGCCACAAAAATATATTATAAAATAATAATAGTAATTTATATAAAGTTGCATGATCAAGAGAGCTTTTAGGAAGTCGAGAGACAGAGAGAGATCGCCACACATGAAGAGAAGGGACATGCATCAAGTCAGACATGGATGACATTTGTCTTTACCTATATACCAAAGCAACGCCACTTA